CCAAATTAATTGCAACCTATAATCCCTTCTATTCCCTTCACATACTCTCAAGAAAAAAACGTTTGCTTTTTGCAGAGTATTATTACGGGAGGAAGTGACACCCCTAAGGTTACTCTAACATGGATGCTCTCCTTATTGTTGAACAATCTTCATTGGTTGAGAAAAGTTCAGGAAGAGCTAGACATTCACGTGGGCAAAGAAAGACTGGTGAACGAATCAGATCTTAGCAAGTTAGAGTGCCTTCAAGCCGTAGTCAAAGAGACATTACGCCTACATCCTCCAGTACTTCTCTTCCCACGGTTCTGCACTGATGAAATCATCGTAAGTGGTTATCATGTCCCTCGAGACAGCTGGATATTCTTAAACCTTTGGAAGATCCAAACTGATCCACGGGTCTGGTCGGATCCTTTAGAATTCCAGCCAGAAAGATTCCTGACAACCCAAAAAGATTTCAATGTTGGTGGTGATCAATACTTTGAGTTGATCCCATTTGGTTTTGGTAGAAGGGTTTGCCCTGGAATGTCTTTTGGCCTTCAGATGGTACACTTGACGTTGGCTAGCTTGTTGCAGGCGTTCGACATCTCCACTCCTTCAAATGCAACGGTGGATATGACTGAAGAAGCTGGACTATCGAACATGAAAGCCACCCCACTCGAAGTTCTTGTTAGACCTCGCCTTCCTTCTAAAATTTATGAATAGTAAGTAATTAAATTGGCTCTGAGCAGTTCTACTTCTAACTATTGTACTTCATTAAAGTTGTACACATAAATTTTTATTTGAAATTATGAAACAAATATAAATATTTAATATAAGTGATAATATCTTAAAATTCTTCTGATTAATGTTTTCACTTTGTCTTCAAAAGTAACGAATCTAAACTTAGTCTTGATATGGCTTTCATGAGTTGAATTCACAAATTTAGACTTAGTCTTGGTATGATCTTCACTTCGTCTTAAGAATTCAGACTTAGTCTTGATATGGTCTCACGAGTTGAAGTCATAAATTCAAACTTAGTCTTGATATGGTCTTGACAAGTTGAACTAACTTGTTATGAGATAAATATAAATATTTGATATGAGTGACAATATCTGAAAATTTCTCTAATTAAATTTTTTATTTGTCTTCAAAAGTCATGAATTCAGACTTAGTCTTGATATGATCTTCATGAGTTGAAGTCACAAACTTCATACTTTAGACTTAGTCTTGATATGGTCTTCACGAGTTGAAGTCTTGATATGGTCTTCATGAGTTGAAGTCACAAATTCAAACTTAGTCTTGGTATGATCTTCACAAGTTGAACTAACTTCGCCGTTGCTTAATCTTGATCACAAACTTCATTGTTAATCATAAGCTTCATCGTTTAGAGGGTCTTAGCGATGGGATCTTGATCCTTGATCATGAACTTTGTTACCGCTTAATCTTGATGACGAACTTCGTTGCTACTTGATCTTATTACAAACTTCACTTGATATTTTGATTACGAACTTCATTACTGCTTGATCTTTACTTCAGAAATCTTCTACTCTTCAGAAATCTTCTACTCTTCTAGATCTCCGAAATGCTCTCAATCTTCGAATGTCTCCCAATCTTCAAATGATTATGAATAAATAATGGCTTGAAGGGCCCTTTATTTATAATGCTAGGTGGGAGACTTTGGTGAAAATGTAGTCTTTTTGAATTATCTTTAAATTATTTTAATTTATTTAGAGATAAATTATAATGACTTATTGAAAGTTGGTCAAACTTTGAGTCATTGAATTTTGATTGGCCAAAGTTGGTTACTATCTCTAAATTATCTTAATTTATTTAGAGATAAATTAAATAATTAAATTTAATTTTTATCTCTAAATTAGCATATTTATTAGATATAAATTAAATGATCAATAATTAAATTTTGATTGGTCAAAAAAATGAATATTATCTCTAAATTACCTTGATTTATTTAGAGATAAATTAGATGACTAATAACTAAATTTTGGTTGATCTAATTTAAATATTATCTTCAAATTATCTCAAAGGATAAATATATGACACATAAGTGAATTGGTTCAACTATGTGTTTTTGAAATAATTCAACCAATAAATTAATTATTTTATAATTAATTACGTGATTGTAACATCATCAAATCCATATGGCGGCACGTATTTGGTTCATAAATTTTCTCCTTCTACAAATATGCTTCATAAAAGTTGTTCTCTTCCCCTAATTCGAATGGTGGAGGAATTTTTGATGAATTCTAATAGTTTGTTTTCCCCTAGTTTTCATAACATAATGTGAAATAAGTAAATTAAAAATGATATAATATTTTTTAAAAAATTATTTTTTATTTTTTATTAAATTCAATCAATATCAATAACAATAAAAACAAATACTCAAAATATTATTTATTATTTTTATTTCATATCAATTAATATGACATATTAACATATTATAATAAATATTAACATGAAAAGTGGGGCGTTCATTAAAATATTATGAATCATATTTTGTATAATGAACTTATTCACCTAAAGCCACTGGTCTATTCGAAATTGGTTAAAAGACCCCTCCAGTTCTTGTACTCTTCAATTTTGTTCAATTTAATCCATGTACGTAAAATCGAAGTAATTTAGTCTTTTGATTTTGAAAATTTCGTGAATTTAGTCCCTCCTCCTAACGACATTCAATTTTATCCTTAAAGGATGACATCAGTACTGACGTATCACATTTTGATGATGTGACTTTTGAGATGATGACGTGGCATGCCATGTGGCATCGAGTGATGATGTGACAATGTCACATGACATTATACAATGACGTGTCGATGTTGACGTGGCATTGAGATGCTGACATGTCAATGTCACATGGCATATTAAAAATTTTTTTAAAAAAAATTTGTCACGTCATAAAGACTAAATTGAACAAAAATATATAGTATAAGGATTAAATTGAACAAAATTAAGATGTTAAGTGACTAAATTAAAAAAATATTTAAAAAATATAAATTTTAAAATAGATTATTGATATGTTTATTACTAAGCCAAATATTTAAGTGTAAAAGATTTATGATGTTAAAAAATATATATAAATATTTTCTTACATGATTATTTAATTTTAAAATATATAAATTAATTTATCTTTTTTATAAAAATTAAATTTGAATTATCCTTCCATAAAAAAAATAAAAAAATTTTATACTTAAAGTCAAATTTAGATGAATAACTTACATTATGTTAAAATAAAATAATTAAATATGTTGATTTAGTTATAACTTTCATAATTTATACAAACACATTCTTTTGAAATTATTCAACTTTTACCAATTTACTTTTTATTTAAATTTACTTAAATTAGTAAAATATATTAATTTAGTTACAACTTTCAAAATTTACAAATACACATTTTTTTATAATTATTCAACTCTTATCTAATTTAATTTTTTATTTAAATTTATTTAAAATTTTTTATAAAATAATTTTATTTAAATTCAAATATTGTAATAAAATTTTGTTAAATTTAAATTTAAATTATTAATTTAGGGATCTTTTGACCATTGGAAATTGGAACTGAAGCAACTTGGCCGTCCAAGCATAGCCATCTTTTTGGATCATTCGCGTAATGCTTTACTAGAGTGCGACGTTCAGATATCCTAGGAAATCATGTTTCTCCAGGTCTATCCAAAATCTTTGCCCTATGCTCAGCAGATATTTGGTCAATATGCAGATTTTATGTTAATTTTGTCTACATGATATACCCCAAAAGGAAAAAAAAACCAAATTGGGGTTGTTGGGAGCTTTAAATTCAACGTTCAATTCTAACATTTCGCATCATCCTGCCTTAAATTCTACCTGTCGACCTTGCACTTTTATTAAGAAATCCTTGCTAGCTGGTGTGGCTGCGGACAGTGACAATTACTGATTACAATTATTGCTTGGGTAACGGTTTCTGTAACTTAAAATATTATCAGGGTTTCAGTTCTGTGTTACACTGTAAATGCTTCGGATGTATCAGAAGTCATCTCTAGCATTTTTCTTTCTAGTCTGCACCAGTAGGCCGGATTTTTCAAAGCTTTTACATTTCGTGGCGACTGAAGCTATGTCCAATTT